CGCCCAGCAGGTGACCTCACGGCGGACCGGCCCGCCCGCGTGACATCACGCCCCGCTCTGAGTCGGCCACCTTCGAGTGACGTCACCCTGGCGCTCTCAGTCCCGGCCTCCGCAGCTCCCGGGAGTCCGGGAACCGCCCTTCCTGAAATGGCCCGGATCGCCAGGCTGATGGCATCTGAAGGTATTCGGTGGCCTCCTGACTTTCATGTGGTGGAAGCTTAGCACACGATGGTTCGGAAAAATAGGCGGGTGGGAAGAACAGGAACGGAAAACAAAGGATTTCAGATTTTGGATTAATAATCCATTAAAAAGCGTTGCCATTCAGGAACAGCCGTAGATTCCATATTTGCAGAAATAGGGTTGAATTTCTAGACAATGGGAGTGAACTGCAGGGTCCCTGAGGCCATCACAGACTAGTGGTGATAGTCATTCAAGCAGGACTCACCACCCAAGGATGTAACTGCATGACGCCTGTGAGCTAGAAGCAGGCCCTGCTTGGGGTAGGATACCCAACTAAGCCTGCGGATAGAACTGAGTTGTCCTGAAAGATAGGTGGCCACGTTGTGAGCAGGCAGAGATTAGAAGGTGACGCCTGTGATGAGAGGCAATGACCTAAGGGCAGGAGACCCTTGGGAAGCCTTGCACATGGTCTTTTTCTGCAACTCTTTTCTAGCTTTTTGCATATCAGCTCCTTCCCATCCCCCAGGGTCCCAACTCCAACATGTCACTTCCTTCAGAGTGATATAACTGAGGAGCCTTCTGAGAAGAGCTATCAGAAGTATCACCTTCTTTATTTCCTTCATCCTAATTATTCTGTCATTTTATATGTTTACTTATTTTCTATCTCCTTCTCACTCAAATGAAAGCTCCATAGTGTAGGCGATTTTTTCTGTCTTGAGCACCTCACGGAACAGCTAGCATATATTTGTTGAATGTATACATTAGGTTTTTTCCCCATGAACCGTGGAGGAAAAACTATGTTAGCTGACAGTTTACAGTTTTCCCCTCCTATAGTGCGATCTTTAATTAACCCAGCTCTTCAGTAAAGGCTCTGTGACTGTGTTCCAAAGCATATAGAGACAGGCAGGGAAGTACAGGGAAGAGTACCCATGCTCACCTAAGCAGGGATTCTAATAGGGAACTCTAGGCATTCATTGCAGAGTCAATAGCAGAGCCTGGAGCTGCAGGGAGGAGTGCTGGATGGATGTTCAGGAGCAATTGCTGGTTGGATATTCTGTGCCTATATTTTCAAGTCTATTTTTCCCCACCTGACATCCTCTAAGCCAGTGGTTCTCAAACTTCTGGCCCTTTAAATACAGTTCCTCATGTTGTGACCCAACCATAAAATTATTTGTGTTGCTACTTCATCACTATAATGTTGCTACTGTTATGAATTGTAATGTAAGTATCTGATATGCAGGATAGTCTTAGGCGACCCCTGTGAAAAGGTCATTCAACCACCAAAGGGGTCGCGACCCACAGGTTGAGAACCACTGCACTAGACTATAAGTTGGGTGATGGCAGAAACTGTCTGTCTCAGTTGCCCTTGTATCCTTAGTACCTAGCACAGCACACATGGTACACAGTAGGTATTTAATAAATGATGACAAATATATCAATAAATAAATGGACAATGCTTTGAAGGTAGATGCAGCAGAATTTGGTAGCCACTGAATATGAAAGATGAAGGAGAGAGTGAAGTCAAGAAATTCTAAAAACTGGAGGAAATGATGATGGTTATTCATTAAATGGAGACTTGGGCGAGGCAGTTTGAGTAGGAACTGTGGAAAAAGATAATGAGTTCAGACTTAGCTTACTTTCATTACTTCTATCCCTCACTAGAGGTAGCTGAGAGATCTTAAAATCTTTTGATGACTTTGGCTTTGGCCTTTCTTCTTTTGTTTTACTTGACTTTTTTTAAGTGGTGAGGTTGAAGAAGCTTAGGTTAAGAAAATTGAGATAGCCTTAACCGGTTTGGCTCAGTGGATAGAGTGTCGGCCTGCGGACTCAAGGGTCCCAGGTTCAATTCCGGGCAAAGGCATATACCTTGGTTGCGGGCACATCCCCAGTGGGGGGTGTGCAGGAGGCAGCTGATCGATGTTTCTCTCTCATCGATGTTTCTAGCTCTCTATCCCTCTCCCTTCCTCTCTGTAAAAAATCAATAAAATATATTTTTAAAAAAGAAAATTGAGGTAATTATTTTCTTGAATAAGCACATTGCTGTTCATGCCATATTGGATCGGAGTAATTGTGCATGTACCCTGTAGACAGACATTCACACCAGCTGCCTCCCACCTCTACATAACTGAGACTTACGAATTGGAAACTTTCCCACAAAAATATCATAATTGGCTCAAAGCTCACAGACAGACAGCCAGTTGCTGTTCTTGTTCCTTGTGTGAGCCATCCCCTTCTCATTCAAACTGAAACAAAATGAAAAGGAGAAAGAGAAGCTGGGTCACACCTTCCATACTCAACTGTGTATTCTATTTTTAGCCTTAGTCAAAAGTTCCGATTTATTGTTACCAAAAAAAAGTACTAAAATCAAGATGTTAAAAACAAGATTTAGGTGGTGTTAAAGGATTCCACTTCCTACTTTCATACACCATGTGGAATTTCATAGGAAGCCTGCTGTTTAACCCTTTTACCTTCCTCCTTTCTGCCCCTCCCCCATTTCTAAAGGAGAGAGAGAGAGAGAACCTACCTAAAGAGAAAGATGGAAAATGATGACAGAAAGCCCTCCCCTCAGATGCTTCCAGAGGAAAATGTGATGAGCTGTAGGAATCCAAGGGCATCACTATAGTCTATGTATCCACACTTGGCTTCTCTTTCTGTGATTTCCCTGGTCAACTGGTGTGCTCTGAAATGAACTTCAAAACAGTTGTACCCCTACCCAAGGTTTCCTTCCCCCAGACTTCGTCACCCACTCCATAAGACGGGTCTTCGCAAAATTAAATAAAACACAGCTACAAATAGGTCATCAAAGTTAAATAATTTAAACCCTTGAGAAAGGAGACAAGCTAATCCTCAGGGATGGCTCAGAATAAGTGGCCATTGTTCCAGTATTCTTGTTCTGTTCGGTTTTTTTGCTTGACATGTGTGCCTGTCTCTGAACTCTTGGGGCGTCAACTAGTCATTTGAGCCACAGTTAGCCTGATCTGCCAAAGTCACTTCAGGGAAATATAGCTTGAGGAATACGTTAACTCTATGTACAGGGTTTTTTTTCTGGAAATAGCCTCTCCGGTGCCCACAAGTTTACTTTGAAAATAGTGATAATTGTGATTATAAATAACTTTGACAAAAGTGGAATACTTATGCAAAAATAATATGGTTTATTAAATGCCACAGATCTGCTCTGACATTTGACTATTCCCAATAATCAATATTAATA